TCTGTATTTTTTTTGTACCTCTGTATGTTGCTAAATTTATAATAAATAAATAAATAAATACAAAATTAATATACTCATTTCATTCCTTTTCCAAAAAAAATTTCTGTACATTTTTTTTTAAAACTGCATTTTCCTTTCCAACCATGTCTCTAAGTTTTTTTCTATCAGATTATCAAATTATCTTTCCACCTTTATATTTCAATTAATTTTTCATCCCTTCATTTTTTTTTTTCCAACAAGTCGGCCATCTCCCACCGAGCGGGGTGACCCAAAAAAAAAAGAAATCCCCAAAACGAAAAACTTTCATCATCATTAAACCTTTCACCACACCGCACTTTTCACTTTTTTTGGGGGGGCGGGGTGCTCAGAAACAACAGTTTAAAGCTACACAAAAAGATACCAACATATCCCTCCCAAACCCCAAACCCCAAAACCCCACCTTTAAAGTGCGGGCATTGTATTTCCCATTTCCGGGACTCAGTCCGACTATAGAAAAAACCGGTTTCCCGAATCCCTTCACTAAATATTACCCTGCTCACACTCCAACAGATCGTCAGGTCCCAAGTACCATTCGTCTCCATTCACTCCTATCTAACACGCTCACGCACGCTTGCTGGAAGTCCAAGCCCCTTGCCCACAAAACCTCCTTACCCCCTCTCTCCAACCCTTTCGAAGACGACCCCTACCCCGCCTTCCTTCCCCTATAGATTTACATGCTTTCCATGTCATTCTACTTTGATCCATTCTCTCCCCAAAAGACCAAACCACCTCAACAACCCCTCTCTGCCCTCTGACTAATACTTTTATTAACTCCACACCTTCTCCTAATTTCCACACTCCGAATTTTTCTGCATAATATTTACACCACACATTGCCCTTAAACAGGACATCTCCACTGCCTCCAACCGTCTCCTCGCTGCTGCATTTACCACCCAAGCTTCACACCCATATAAGAGTGTTGGTACTACTATACTTTCATACATTCCCTTCTTTGCCTCCATAGATAACTTTTTTTGACTCCACATATACCTCAACGCACCACTCACCTTTTTTTCCCTCATCAATTCTATGATTAACCTCATCCTTCATAAATACATCCGCCGATACATCAACTCCCAAGTATCTGAAAACATTCACTTCTTCCATACTCCTCCTCCCCAATTTGATATCCAATTTTTCTTTATCTAAATCATTTGACACCCTCATCACCTTACTCTTTTCTATGTTCACTTTCAACTTTCTACCTTCACACACATTCCCAAACTCATCCACTAACCTTTGCAATTTTTCTTTAGAATCTCCCATAAGCACAGTATCATCAGCAAAAAGTAACTGTGTCAATTCCCATTTTGAGGAGCTCAGACATGACAGCTTAGAATTCAGTAAATGACTGTGATAATTCTTTAACTCTTTCAGTCCTGTAGAACTACATCATTATCTAGGGTCCATCATGTAGTTTTATGTCATGAGCTCAGCTCACTCAGATAAACTGCAAGTGGTTAATTTTGGCCTACATATGAGAGAATGGGTATTCGCAATCAGTGTGCACAGCATAAAAAAAAATCCTGTCCCATGTGTTCCACGATGAGAAAAGCAAAATTCAGACCATGTGTTTGGTTTAAAATAGCAATTTTGAGGTGTTTTCTAGGATGGTTTTATGGTTTTACTGGCTGTTTCTTGGTGTCATTTGACTGAAAGGAAGACATACTACTGATATACAAATGTTTAGTTAGAAGTAGCTAGAAACTGGGCTCAAAATAGTGAAAATATCCAATTTTTGCCAAGTTTTCTTAGGACAGGTAAGATCCCCTACACTCTCCCCAGTCTGCTTTATGGATTTTTAAAAGGTATGATTCAATTATTGGGATGCCATAAACCATGATCAATCATTCCTTGTTATACTTTATTATCTGAGAAACTGAGTAAACTTCTATTTTTGTGTGATTATGAATTTAAAATTAGAGACCTAGGGGTGTGATAAATGAACAGAGGAAATGTTTTAGTGCCAGGAATGTCTATATTATTTATTTTGCACTATTTTTAAATTGGCACTATTTTTAAATTGTACTATTTTAAAATGTGTAAAATTTGCCAAATTACCAATATATGTGCACTTTATAGGTCAGTTGTAATAGCTGAATTCATGGTTTCTTGTGCTCAACTGACAGAACAGAAGGCATACTAGCAAAATAGCTAAGAATTCAGTCAATTGGAGCAATGGAACTGACTTAAAATAGAACTTAAAGTCAGCAAAATTTCTGATGCATAAATCACTCCCAGGCTGCTAACTTTGTTCCTGCATAATTCCTTAAATTTTCCATCATATTTCATTATCTACCATTTCAAAAGAATTTTTTCTTTTAAATGGACATTGAGAGCAATATTTATTTACGGGGCTTGGACAATGGGGGTAGTGGACATGCAAGCTACTCATGTGTCATAAGTGTTTACAGATTTCCCACCAATAACTGATGTTACTGGTATATTTCCTGCACAAGCGTGTAAGTGGCTTATAAATCAAACCTTCAATGAGGCATGAAATGCTTCAATTACCTGTACTGCCTTATACTCAACAAACAACAGAACAACTGTATGTTCACTGTAAACACCTGACAGCAATTTTTTGTGTGTGCCCACACTTTGGTAGTACCAACCGAATCTGATACTGACACCATATGCGCAACTGTAAGGAGCAGCCAACCACAAAACAATTTCACCAGTCTGAACACACCTCCTTGGGGTGTCATACTATAACTATTCAACCAAAATTATAGTAAATATTTGTAACATATAGTGGGGCAAATATCATATAATGAAGTAATCATAAATATTTATGGATTATGGTAATCCACAGACATTACGTGATCAATGATAATGATTCATACTTTTTGCCTTGTCATTTTATTTTTCCACCATATTTCACGTTAAATTTAAGAAGCACCCCATATGCCACTGCATCTATATTTTTTTTTTTTTTTTTTCAACAAGTCGGCCGTCTCCCACCGAGGCAGGGTGACCCAAAAAAGAAAGAAAATCCCCAAAAAGAAAATACTTCATCATCATTCAACACTTTCACCACACTCACACATTATCACTGCTTTTGCAGAGGTGCTCAGAATACAACAGTTTAGAAGCATATACGTATAAAGATACACAACATACCCCTCCAAACTGCCAATATCCCAAACCCCTCCTTTAAAGTGCAGGCATTGTACTTCCCATTTCCAGGACTCAAGTCCGACTATATGAAAATAACCGGTTTCCCTGAATCCCTTCACTAAATATTACCCTGCTCACACTCCAACAGATCGTCAGGTCCCAAGTATCATTCGTCTCCATTCACTCCTATCTAACACGCTCATGCACGCTTGCTGGAAACATCTATATATATGCTGCAAAATACAGTATGTCAACACATGATTGCAAGCTTCATTTGGTGAAGAAGATGCACACATTTCAAATTTGTATGGAAAGAAACAAATATCAAGCAAGACTGCAAAGTACCATTAATACGACTTCTGAGCATCCCCCATTCCTATCTATGTGAGTGTACAGACTTTCACAACCCAATACAAATATTCTGGGTTTTGCACCATTCAAGCTACTACCCTTAGATAAACAGCAATTCATGCTCTTAATGTTGATAGACTTTTCCTATATTTAAATTTTACAGATATTAATTCATAAATGAAATTAACTTCCATTAGTTTTTGTTTTATTACATTCAGCAAGAGATACATACAGCATTTTAAAGAAATCTGTTTTCTTTGTAAAATGTATTACAGTTAAAGAAACTGGTAAGTTACTTATAAAATTATATTCACTTTACATTGTCCTGTTAATGAATTTGTATTTCTCATTAGTAACTTTTGTGACTAAGATGCTGGGAGCAAGGGGCTAGTAACACCTTCTCCTGTATGCATTACTAAAGTTAAGAAAGAGAAACTTTTGCTTTTCTTTTTGAGCCACCCTGCCTCAATGGGATACAGCTGGTTGATTTGTTGAAAGAAGAATTAGTAGCTTTTGTACCTTTTTTCTCACTTTCAACTCATAAATGCCATCTGACAGACACCCAATGCTTTGCAACATACTTTCTTTCAGTTCAAGACAATGACAAAATGGTCAGTTCTAGCCATCCCCTCAAGGGCATTTTCAGATGTACAGTGATTTAACTTAAAATCAGACTTACTATTAAATGAGTATGCCTCAGTGTGGAATGAAAAGCAGCATGTAAGCTGTATTCATGCACAATCTGCTTAAATGTAGCGTACACAATCTCACTCTTCCCAAAGAAAAAACTGAATTTCATAAGGAAGATATTAGTTACTTAAAATCCATAAAGGGATAAATTTTCACTAAGCTCAGTAAATACAAGCATTTCATAAGGGCACGCAATGAATGATGACTCACTAAACGGCTGGGGCTCGAACCCATGGTAGGCAAGTCCTAAAACTCACAGTTCAATGTACTAATCATTTGGACCAGCTGGTCCAGTGGTTAGCACACTGGCCTGTGAGTTTTAGGACTTGTCTGCCATGGGTTCCAGCCTCATCAATTCTGTGATTTGTTTGCAACTATGTTACTATGATTTCATGAGAATTGCATGATGAGATATTAAATGTAAAAAAATCAGCTAATAGGTTACTGAATATAAAGAAAAAAGGTCAAAACAAATCAAATGTTCCATACTAACCAAACAAAGTTTCAAACAGAATCAACAAAAAAATTGCAGGGGTTGTCCGGGCCCAATTAAAGCTTTTGGGTTTCTGGAGCCAGGTCGGATCATCTGTTCACGACGGGAAGGCGGAGTGGATGGGTGGCTAGACTGAGGGGAAGGAATAGGCTGGAGGGGGCGGATGAGAGTGGCTGTGAGATGGGGGAAATGCCTGTTGGAAAGGATGGGTGGTTGGGGGGTACGGGGAAATAAGAGGTGGAATCCTTTTGCGGGGGGGATGGGCTGGAAGGGATGTGGAGGAGTGAAGGGTAAGTTGAAGGCACACCTGTAGGGTGCTGAAGAGCGGGATGTGACAGAAGTGGCTGTTGTGGTGGTTGGGACAAGGTGGTAGCAGTTGATCTTTCCGAGCCACTGGATCCTCCTCCAGTGCCACCTGTCCCTCCACCACCACCTCCCACTCCACCACCGACACTGCCACTGCCAGAGCCACCTCCACCGCTCCCTAACCGCCGTGCACTCCGTTGACTCGCTTCACTGTCGCTTCCACTTTGGGCTGGAGAGGCAGACTTTCGTTCTACCTTCTTTTGAGTTCCGCCACTACTTCCTGAAAATTTCATATATCTTTGTATAATGAAAGAGCAGACTTATCAACCCAAAAACATTAACATAATCATATTTACCAGTACCTATAAAATAGCTGAATGTTTTCTATGAGTACTTTTTTCAATAAGTGCATGTATTCCAACAATAGAAGCCTGAATTACTACTCTGCAAAATATTGAAGGGAAAGTTCAACAGTGAGTAATGGCATTATGAATCTTACCAGAGCCACTATTGGTGCTGCCATCTCTGTTAAATGCATAGGATTCATTAGTGTAATTGAATGGCATAGGTGTGTAACCTGTAGCAGGGGGCACGTAAGTACCAGCATAGGGCATATGAGGACCACCCCAAGGAGAAGTACCAGATGGAGGCGGTAATGGGGCAAGTGTGTCCCGGTCTGCCTCACTCAGGGTATCCTCCTCTCCCAACTTCAAACCTGCTAAACCTGTAAATAAATAACATGAATTACTGAACAGAATATAAAACTAACCAAGAATTAGACAGCAATGTATCTCTCATATCAATGTTAATGGAACTACAGATAAATTTCTAATGTACAGTGGTCATCAGTGCATCTAGGCAACTTTATTGTTATTAACCATGCATCATTTAGGGTCAATTATTTACTTTGGCTGCTAAGCAGAGTTGGGTAATAATTTATAGTAAACAGTGTATAATAATTGGGTTTTGCAATAGACAATTTTTTTGTGAGGGGGAAACTGTTTAGTATAGTTGAAGGGAAGGTGTAAATTCTACAATATTAAATGGGTTGTACAAGTGGATATATTTTGGGTCTAAGGGGAAAAACACTATTTCTTTAGCATTTCCCCCAAAAACCTACCCCAATCTAACCTAACCTAGTATTTAATTCAAGATCTAGGTTAACTTATATTAACTTGGGTTTCTGTGGTTACCAAAGTAAGTTTTCTTCCCATAGGTACAAAATACTTTTGTATGTCTTTTTGGGCCACACCGCTTTGGTGGGATATGGCCGGTTTGTTGAAAGAAAGAAGGTAGGTACAAAATATATCTACAGTGCACAATACATAATAACCCATATTTTCTGAGCAGCTAAAGTAAATATTGACCTTATATAGAAGTGTGCCATCAAACTTTTACAATGAATCAAGCTAAAAAAAAGTTTACAACAATGAATCAAAATCATTATGGCATTCTTAAAGACTTACTAGCACACAGATCACCAAACACGTAATAGCACTGCTCAGAGAAGTCCTTTTTATTAACAGTGTGTCTAATATAGCCTGCCTTGAGCATTTGAGCTGCATATTTACGTGCCTCCCTCCGATCTTGAAAACCATCTACTCTTTGATGCAACCAGTCCACTACGTCAGCACCTAAAAAGACGGGATATAAGCGTGCAGAACACAGAGCCCTCTTGAAGTGAAAATTGCATTGTACATTAAACATTGCGTATGGCAAAGCATTTTGCAGGTACTGTATAATGAAGGCTGAATTTACAACAGAATCTCTGTTGTTTATATTTTCTATAATAACTTACCAATGAAAGCATTTGGTATAGTAATCTTGAGCCACATACGATCTCTAATTTCTAAACCAGAGTCAGGAGCTGCCATTGTTCGCACTATAGTGTCCATAGAAGTATTTACTGTTAGCTTCATCTCTTCATATGGTCCTGTTTTTGAAAAAACAGCCATTAGTTATTATTGAAGTGTGGATCACCAAACATAAGATCAGGTGAGGTTTTTCTTTGATTATAAAAGTGTGGGTCAGTACAGAAAGAATACATTCTCAAAATAGGAATACTGGAAGTAACTGTAATGCAAAAGAAAACTTAGTGAGCTTACTCTCTGACTCAGGGATGCTGGAGGTGATGGAGGAGCTGGTAGAGGTAAGGGTGCTCACTGATGGCGGACGACCAGGAAACTCTCCTGTCAAGGGCAACACTACACCTTACTTATACCACACTTCCTCAAAACAGCACAAGTTAGTACGCCAAATTAAAGAGGACTCGCATTCTTACTGCCAGGATGAGGATTTTTCCATATTACAGATGTCAATATTAAATGTGCAGATACTCCTGTTTAAATTACTTGAAGTGTATTAGTAACTACCACTTCTGTACTATACATTCAGTAATTCATAGAATTTTCTAAATACTCTATGCTTTATGTAATACTATACATTCATCTTGAAATATTCACATGCTAGATATACCAAATCATGTATTGGTCTTGTAGTTTTTAAATACAAATAAGTAAGGTGCAGATATACACAACTTTCAATTTCATTCATCTTTTGGTAAATGGTATTAAATCTTTTGTAAAAGACACTAACACCATTACTAATTTGATTTTGATTAACCAATCAATTCTTTAACAGAAACAGGTATTTAGCAAAGACAATAAAGAAAAAAATGATTCAGAGAAGATAAAAAGTAAAGTAGTCTCTCACATAACATGCAGACTATGTTCCTGAAATTGATGCTATACATAAAATTGCTGTATGTTAACTAATGAACATTGTTAGGTAAGACACATATGCAACAGTTAGGTATCTTTATTTTGAAACGTTTCGCCTACACAGTAGGCTTCTTCAGTCGAGTACAGAAAAGTTGATAGAAGCAGAAGATACTTGGAGACGATGTAATCAGTCCATCACCCTTAAAGTTTTGAGGTGGTCAGTCCCTCAGTCTGGAGAAGAGCATTGTTCCGTTGTCTGAAACAATATTGTTTCAGACAACGGAACAATGCTCTTCTCCAGACTGAGGGACTGACCACCTCAAAACTTTAAGGGTGATGGACTGATTACATCGTCTCCAAGTATCTTCTGCTTCTATCAACTTTTCTGTACTCGACTGAAGAAGCCTACTGTGTAGGCGAAACGTTTCAAAATAAAGATACCTAACTGTTGCATATGTGTCTTACCTAACAATCTGTCGGTATTTTATACCATTTTAATAACTAATGAACATATGGAAAAAATTGGGTTGTATTCAAGACATGAAAAAAAAGTATGCACAGTGGACCCCCGGTTTACGATCAGCTCCCAATGCGACCAATTATGTAAGTGTATTTATGTAAGTGCGTTTGTATGTGTATGTTTGGGGGTCTGAAATGGACTAATCTAATTCACAATATTCCTTATGGGAACAAATTCAGTCAGTACTGGCACCTGAACATACTTCTGGAATGAAATAATATCGTAAACCAGGGGTCCACTGTACTTATTTCATCAAAAATAAAAACTTTTGATACCTTTATTGGAGAAGTAGTAGCTTGTTGATCTAGAAGTGTGTGGAAAGGATTGATGTTGCCCTACAATACCAGTACAAACATCACTGATCATCACCTGTCCTTGACAATGGTAAACAAAAGCCACATTGAAGTTTATCTTGCCATGTCCAACACCTACTATACCAACACTGGCATGGTGAAAGCCAGTCAGTGACTCAGTGTATTCTTGCTGTAGACAGTGGGGAAACACACAAGAAGCAATGGGAGGCTTAAGATTTTGTCGAGACTTAGGTCTCAATTAAGTTTCCAATTGCTGCTTGTGTGTCATTATCAACTACAACTTGCCTTATTCCCATACCATCTATTACAGAAACCAGGAAACTGGACTCAATACAACGTAAGATATGGTGGCCCTAAAACCACCCAGTGTTGGACAATGACGACAAACTGATGGACAAGATCTTACTGTTATATTCACTACATAATTTTATGACTTAAAATATGCTGAAAGTGACAAAAAAGCATTTTACCCTGCCTTAAATTCCTTGATCCTCCTACTTATGGCTACAGAAGTGTGGAGAGAATGTTTATGTTACCTTGCTGTGCCACAGTTTTGATAGGGATATTTCCTGTGTCCTGTGACCAACTCCTCTCATGCCTTAAACTGCACAATTTTATAGTTTAAAATAAACTAAAAATTGACGAAGATTTTTAACACACTAGCCATCTTCCACTGAAGTAGGGTGTATTAAAAAAATAGGAAACACATTAACCATCATTCATTCATATGCTGTCTTTCCAGAAGAATGCAAACACCTCGATTCCAATAACCCCCAAGCTGAGACATTCCCACTGCTCCCTCAGAGAGCAGGTGCTGTACTTCTCACCTCCAGGATTCAAGTCTGACTAATCTGTTCCCCTGCATCTCTTCATAAATATCACCTTACTCACACTCCAACAGTCATAAAAATAAGTTGTTTCCACTCTTTCTTCCACCTACTCCTCTTTTTTCCACCCTCGATTTATATACCCCCCTCGGTCATTCTATTTTGCTCTATTCTTTATCAATGCCCAAACCACCTTAACAACCCACTCCTTCAGCCATCTAAATTTAACCTTTGATAGCCCAACACTCTTTAGTTTCTATGCTCCAAATTGTCAGCATAACAATTACACCACTGATCACCCTCACACACGTCATCTCCACTGTGTCCAGCCTGATCTTTTCTGTAACATTTAAAACTCTCACCTCCCACTCACATAACAGTGTTGGTACAACTACACTTTCATGCATTCTTCTCTTTTTTTTTTTTTTGGTCCATAGATAAACATCATCTCCAAAGAACCCTCAATACACTATCTACCTTTTTTCTTCCTTGTTTATTCTATGGTTTACCTAACTTTTGCAGACAAGTCTACTCCTAAATATGTGAGTACACTTACTTACTTCATGTTCTCTCACTTTATTGTGATATCCAATCTTGCATGGCCTAGATTTTTGTTGTTACTCTCATCACCTTGCTCTTTTCTATATTCACTTTTTTTTTCTTTTACACATCTTCCCAGCACTTTGCAACTTTTCTTCAGAATCTCCTATACAAACAATATCACTGAAAAAAGTAGTTTTATCCCACTTTAAATTATATTTTTCATTACACTTTTATTGTCTTAAAATATACTAAAGTGACAAAATAAATTATCTTAAATACCTTGGTCCTACTACTACTTTCTAGATATGTGGGGAGCAACTGATTGTAGCCTTACTAAACCATAATTTTGAAAAGGAACTTTCCTGTAGCCAATGATTAGCTGATACCTCTATGGGACACATCTACAAAGCATCTGACCACATGGGCAGATGTTTACAAAAGGATCCAGCTAGGCTGCTCAATCCCACCCCAGTGAATGCAAAATGTCAGCTTTCCCAAACTTTACAGCATGAACAACCCAACAACTCCCTCCTTTTCTAAACTTTCGAAAATTTTAGTAGCAATATATAATCCCTTGAGGATCCAGACCCCCTGATCTGAAACTGGTCCACAGGGGCCAAGAATTTAAAAAAAAAAAAAAAAAAATTTTTATTTCTTCTTAAGAATTGGTAGAGATTTTTTTTCGAGGGTAATAAAACAAAATGTACAAAATCTGACAGAAAACTAACGAAATTACTCTATTGCAAATTTTGCCGTATCAGCGATATTTACGCATTGGTGATTGCTTGCACCAAACTTTTGGAATACATTTTAGTCAACAATTACATTTTCCAGTAGCCAATTATTAGATATTCACAAGATGCCATTCATTTTATCCAAAAGAGACAGAAATAATTGCCCAGTCAACAATTTCAATACCAAAAAATGTGATCGGGAAATAGTAAATTTCCAGTGTTACATCCCAACTTTACAAAATTCCGAATGTCCAAAGATTTCTCACTCAAAACACACACACCACACAAGTCCATACACACCCAGGCTTCACACAACTAACTATTCACATCATATTCACAACACAATTTCCTAATCTCACTCACACACACACACACCCCACACACCACACACACACAACACACACACACACACACACACACACACACACACACACACAAAATCTGTTATGCAATATTATAATAATTGTATAAATAACATCAAGGCATTAGTGAACATGTACTGGATGCATGATGTGATTTGTTTACTCTTGAACATAGGCAAAAACGAAACATTTCCACTACATTGAGCTCACTCTCACACTATTTCTTGTCCAAAAACCAATCAAAATCATCACTATTTCTATATCTTCTATTCTATTAAATGAGACCAAGAAACTAAGAATACAACCACGAAAACCATACAAAAATACACCGCAAAGTCACTGTTTTAAGCAAAAACACGGTTGTACTTTTTTTTCATTGTGCACTGCATGCTGCAGGATTTTGTTTGTAAGGTGCACACTTACTGCACAGACCCATTCTCTCATATCTAGGCCCAAATTTACCACTCACAGCTTATCTGAAATGAGCTGAGCTCATGGAGTAGAACTACAGCATGGATACTGGCTTCAAAGCCATAAAACTACAGCATGGACCCCTCAAGGGGTTAAAAATGCAAAATATCACCAAATGAACTGTGATATTCTACTGCATTATGCAAGGTATTGCTAAAAAAAAGTGAGAAAGAATATTGAGGTAATATATCTGTCAAGGAAAAGAATGGCTATGTCAAGAGGACAGCATATGTTTAAGAGGTGAGAGTAGGAATGCATGAAGAGCAACCCTCAAAGATGCATCATGTGAATGGTGAGAATGGATTTGCAAAGTTCAAGAATATTTAACTGGTGAGGGTGGAAATACATTTAGAGAAATTCCCTTCCATGAAAGAACATGGGGAGAAAGAAAATTGCTGCTGCATCAATATTACAGCATACAGTATATGCAAGTGGTGTCACTGAGAATGCACAGGAATACACAAGAGGTCAGTGTGGAAGGGTTGCAGTACAAGAAATATTTAAAAGCATACAAGAGTAACACTTAACCATTCAGTGAAAAAACTATGCTTGAGTATATCTGCACAAAAAAAAAATGAATATATTATTTGGCAAACTATATTTATCAGTACAATTACCATATCCAACCAATACAATTAATATTGTCCTATCTACATAAGCCATAATAATTAGAACTAATTGCAATACAGTACCATATCAGGAAACCATTTCTACAAGATGACATCTATGTTACTGTATTTTAAAAATCTATATTACTATTAATACTTAAAAATCTACATTTCAATACTGAATCTGGAAGGAGCAATTTACAAAATTTATTCACATACAACAGTGTTCAATCTTTCCACGTGACATAGCATAACTACAAAAAATATGCTTCTTCCAGTTATCTTTTGCATTTCACAGTGCTTTTTCCTACTCTATGTGCATTACCAGGTGTTATTAGTAGCACTGCTTGTACAAATAAAACATGGCTACACTCAACCTGGAATTCCTCGGCATGCTTGAGTGTGTGCAACCCACGCACCGGGGTCGATGGGCCGGACAGGTTCTGTACGAGGTATGGTGAAGTATCCCTTTGGATTGGGATCCCAACATTTCGCAACAACGAGCTTGATTGGCCTACAAATATGTTGAGAGACAGGAAGGAAATGAAAAAGACACTAAATTAATTTTTCTTACAAATGCTGGTATGTGCTTGATATATTCATTAATGAAGGTTAAAAAATAAATTAATTTTGAAACATTATTAAGATATGCTCAGTTTGAAAAATATAAATACACCAATAAAAAAAATACACTCACCCAGGTTTTTGAACTACTTCCCGTAAAACCCTGACTGCCTCATCATTACTCATATTTTCAAAGTTTATATCGTTAACTTGAAGTATCATATCTCCAGGCTCTATACGTCCATCTAATGCAACAGCTCCTCTGTAAATATACATGTTTGTTTTATTTTATTTACAAAGCACTAGAACTGTTTGGTTATTCAGAACTTTAAATATATTCCTTTCCTAACATTTTATTATTAACAACTTACTACTCTTGTTGCCAATTCCTCTCATATAAGATTAATCACAATCAAGAAGCTAGTGCAGAAACAGTATTTAAAATCTATTTTTTACATTCCAAAATCCATGTCCATAATTCATTGCATCACTGTCAGCAAATTCAAATGAAGGGGAATTTTTTCAATACACTAGCTGTCTCCCACCAAGGTAGGGTGATCTGAAAATGAGGAAACACTTTCACAGCCACTCAATCACTGTCTTGCCAGGAGCATGCTGGTATCACAGTTCAGATGGCCCTCCAAACTGCAACATCTCCATCCCCTACTTCGTGGGGTGCAAGCACTGTACTTTCCACCTCCAGGACTAAGTCTGGCTAACTGGTTTCCTTGAATCCCTTCATGTTACCCTGCTCACACTCCACCAGCATTTTTAATCGTAAAAACTACTCACCCTCCCTCATTCCTACCTAACCATTAATGTTGAAAGAAATGCCAAATTCTTATTTAGGCAAGCACCTGTGTGAAGGGTGGTACCTAGTGTTCGGGGGTACATCTCATTGCTATCTTTGAAGGCAAAGAATTTTATGACCAAATTCTTCTCATTACAATATAGCAGCACCTCATTAATAAGGAACCTTTCCATTAGATGTCTGGTTAAGAAAAGCAACAACAATAACACTGCAGTGATAATTACATATTTCAACCAGTAGTGCTCGACATTACTTTTAAAATCTTATAAAACTGTACTTACCAGAAAAGTATACATATTGTACAGGTGTCCATTACTTTATGCAGTGGATGGATTTTAAGCTCATGGCAGCTGTACTAAGCACAATCACATCATCATCACTTAATTTTGCAAAAGAATCATCATTAAGTTTTGCATAATGCACCAATGACTGACTGTACAGTGCCAATAAAAAGTGGGTTGTCACACAACATTAAATTTGCATAAATGAACCTACATAAAATAAGGGAAACCTACATACAGTATGTCCATTCAGAGGTGACAAATAATGATTCTGGCCTGCCATTACTGTTATACAGCTTATTGTAATTAAAAAAAATTACATGCTGTCCAGCTAATTAATTACAGTAGACCGTCAATGAACACTAGTTTATTTGGCACGATTTGGTTATAGCACAATTGAAAAATTGCGGCACAATTTTATACAACACTTCATAAAATTAACTTTACACGGTTCCATTTGTGGGAGAGGAAAAAATTTCCCCAGCTCAAGCTGCTGCCTTGTTGTGGGTAGCACATAAGAATGAAGTAAATATGAGTTTGTGTGATGACTGACTTACTGATTACTTACTGACTTGACTGACACCTGAAACGGTGTCAGAGCACTGATCCCTTACCACATTGTAAAATGTCTGTTGGGAAAAATAGAACAAAATCCTTTACAATTTATGCACACTCGAGTACAACCACCGACTTTATACCAAACCTCTCCCCATCCACCTCTCCAGAAGGCCACAGCATAACTCCCACAACACCAAAAACACCAGCACTCACAATTTAAGGTAAGAAATACAGGGGTCCCCCGCTTTCGTATTTCCCCCGCAATGAAAATTTTCCCCAACATGGGGTATTTTCGTATGAACAGGGACTCGCTTTTCATGGTTGACTCGCACGAGTTCGCCAGGAGCGTACCACGGCGTGAGCCGGGGGGGCGCCGTCGGCTTGTTTACCAGTAGCGAAGGTCCCCCACTGCCCGGAAATATTTTAAAAATTTTTCCATTTTTTTTAGTGCTTGCAAGTACTAAAAAACTCCATAGCTCCAAAGAAAGCTCCATCCAAAGCCGGGGAAAAGAAGGTGAGAAAACGTTTAAATTTTTAAAAAAACCCATCATTGAACAATATGAAAGTGGTACAATTGGGGGCCGAACTGTCCAGGATTTATAAGAAACCCTACGCAACCTTATTTCCGTAGTGGCCAAGAAAAAGGAAAATAAAAATGCGTTGTTGCAAAGGGATAACTATGCGACAAAAATGAATCACCATAAGGAAGGGTTAAATTATTATTGGTGGGGAAAAATGAAAACATTTGTGGTAAAAAGGAGAAATACGACTGAATTTAAGAAAACCATCATTGAAAAATATGAAAGGGTAAAAATGGGGCCGAACTGTCCGGAAGATAAAAAACCCTACCAACCTTGTTCCGTATGGCCAAGAAAAGGGAAATAATCTGTTGTTGCAAAGGGAGTAACTATGCTGACAAAATGAGATCACCAGTACTGAAAGGTTTGAGAAGTTATTTTTGGGTGGGGCAAATGAGAAACAATTAGCGGGAATACCTTAGACTTCGATTTTTTGGAAAAAAGGGCTAGGCAGTTGCAGAAGATTTGGTAAAAAATTGCCTAAAATAGGGTAAAGTAGGTTTTTAAAGGGGCCAGCAAAGGCTGTTTGAGAGATTTAAAAACCCGAACTGGCATACACAGTGGGGTAAGGCAGGGTGAGGCTGTCATTGGGACCACAAGGGGCTGAAAAAAAATTGCATGAATTCCAGGAGTACATAGGGGCTGAAGGGCGAAACCCGAACAATTTCAATTGGACAAAACAGGCCCCTTTTGGGAAAAAAGCCAAAGAGGACCTTATTACACAAGAGGAAAAGGGTGCCAGGGCACAAGCCCAGAAAGCAGCTGACGCTAATTTCTTGCTAATGCAGGGGGGTTTTTAAAAGGGCCATTACTAGTGTACCATTCTGAAAATCCCCGTGTGTTAAAGGGAAAAAAAAGTTTTAGAGTAAAAATTTTTGTTTTTGGAAACTAATAGGAAGGCATGGTCACGAGGGAAATTTTCGTCGGTGGTTAATGAAGTGTTTGGCCCAATGTGAAGGAGTACTCCTGGGAAAAAAAATTGATCTCAAGGGCCCCTATAATGGGCAATGCACCTGCTCATCCTCCCAAAATTTGGGGACCTAATTTTCGGGGGTTTGGTTCATCACAGTAAAGTTTTTGCCCCCCAACCACTCCCCTCCTCCAACCCTGGACCAGCAGGTTTTTTGCAAACTTTAAAAAATCACCAAAACAATGTTTCACAGGCTTTACTGTGACCACAACACCACTTGACCCCAAAGGGAAAAAATTTTTTTTGGGGAACACTTTAGCATCCTCCACTGCATAACCCTATGGTATGGCTTTGGGGGGGAGTGACTACCCGGACTTTTAACTCTGCCTGGGGAAAAAATGTGGCCAATTGTGTCACAAAAGGGGGTTTTTAAGGGTTTGGGACAAACCCCAATGAGCCTATGTCTTTGTAAAATCAATTTTGGGGACCGGGATTCCATGGGTTGGATGTGAGTTTGGAGGGGGGAAGAATTGGGGGAAGACCCAAAAGAAGAGCTCCCCGAGGCTGCAAGAGCTTTAGCAGGGAAAAGCAACACATCGAAGCTCAGAACTGCTGCAGAGGGAAAAAAATGGGAAAAGGTCCTTTTTCGAAATTTTAAAAAGATTTTACTATGTGGGGGAAGATGGGAAAATTTTTGGGGGAAAAACCCCCCAACAAGGTTGTTGCAAGCCAGGTTGGCAAAAATGTACGTGACAAAATCGGGCCATTTAGGGAATGTTAAATAGATGCAAAACAGACTCTCCCACTTATTTTGTGAGACAGGACTCCCGTGCTCTCAAGGGGGTCCAGTGGGATTAAAAACAGAGAAAGGGAAAGGGGGCATGCAAAGAGTACGTAACCTTTATTCGGCGCAGACACACCCCATTTACGGCTATCTCCCCCAACCGCGAACCAGTTGCTAAAATTGAGATGGGGGGCCCCTCTTCAACTATGACCAGGTTCTACCAAAAAGAAATGGTTTTTTTGGGAATCGCAGAGGTTAGTGGGGACCGCTCTCCTGTCTGCCCTTGTCATTCCCATTCTAGAGCTGGTTGAAGCACGGTCTGCTATCTTGTGGCTTCTATTTCTGCTTTGCTTACCGTGGAGTGCACTATACTTATCACTGTACATAGTGTACATATTGCTGTTCTAAATTGGTGAAGGATAATACTCTGTTTATTTGCTCCCATTACACCCGGGGTAACAGGCCATCTGGAATCCTGGGTTGTAATAAGAAGCAACCCCAGAAAAGCAAATGGTACCTGAGGTGTTGATGGAAGGGGATTCCCCTTCCAAACTATAAACAATCCACTCTCTCTCCTCCTCCAGTCTCCCATACACTAAGAAGAATCTCCAATAAAGGTAAGTGTTATGCTGTTAATGTTTCATTCATCATTTCCCATTGTATTGTTTATGTACTACATGTATATTTCATGTTAAAATTTTTTTTGTTTTAATACTTCTGGGTGTCAGGAACGGATTAATTGTATTTACATTATTTCTTATGGGGAAAATTGATTTGTAAATCGTAAATTTTGTTTATAGTAACGGCTCCAGGAACGGATTAATTACGAAAAACGAGGGACCACTGTACTGTTATTTCTGTTGCATTTGTAATCTTAAGCAGTGAAAACAACATAATACATCACAACAATGAACTACAATTACAAATTCACTTTATTTTTTTGTAAGATCTGTTGGTCTAAAAAAAAGTTGTTTGGCTTTATGGGAGCTCCCAGGAACGTAATCCTACTTTTCCTAAAAAAGTTTTTCAGTTCATCTAACATGGTTTTATCAAACACGTTGTTTTCAGGAATGTAACTACAGTGTTAAATGACAGTCTACTGTATATGAAAACAAGCAAGCAGTACAAAAAATAGTGGCATTATTGCTGATGGGTACTGTACCTTCACTTACTCCTCCCTACAGATAAAACTGAATATTTGTTTTATATTAAGACAGTCTTACAACTACTGTAATCATAATTTGTTATGAAAGCGAAAAATACAGCACAGTAATGTGTATTGCATTTTAAATGAATACCAATATCCCAGTCACTGTAGTGCCTCCAATGAACTGTAATTG